GGGCAAGCTCAGGTGTGCTTGACCACTAGCCTTTAGTCTGTGACTGGATACCTGCTTGAAATAACACTAACATCTGTCTTAACTGCAGGCAATCCTTTGTATGGACATAGGCAATTCAATACTAGAAAATAAAAGGCTGATATTGATTTTTTGCAGCACAATGACATCAAATTAAAATTCTAGCAGAAAAGGCTTACAGAGTTTGAGCAGCTCTTCTGAAGTGGGACACATTATTTTTCAAGAGAAAGGTGCATACCTGCCCTAGCATAAAGGCACAAAGATCAGTCTTGCACTAACACAAATTTATTCTTTTTCTCTTGGCTCCTAGGCCTCATGGAAAGGGCAGATTCCAGGAAAGTAGAAGGGAGTGAAGGTTGGTGCCTTGTGTTCAGAGCAGTGAGTGCTGCACAAATACTTCTAGTGGAAGAGTATAGGATCATGGAAGTCTAATCTATGCTGTTGCATTTCTGATCTTGCCAGGAGAATGTAACAACGTAAGGCATCCTTGAACCAGGTCACTGTTGCTGTGTCTTGTGGCTCCTTTCCAAATTCAGCTTAGGAAGATTTCCACCTAAGAGAGGCTGAACTGCAAGGAGTTGCCCCTTCTCCTGGATTTGGTCTCGCAGGTATTGAATTTCTAGCTGCTGCATTTCTATGATTTTCTCGCTTTCCTTCTCTGCATTCAATCTCAGGACAGCTGGGCTGGATTGCACTTCGCTGGAGGGAGCTAGAAGATAAAATCAGAGAGGATAGAGCAGAGTAACAAAGATCCAGCTCACAGAGTTCTTTGGCATGAACAAGGAAATGCATCTTTCAGGGCTGAAGGCGCAGATCTAAATAGTAAGATTCTGCAGTATTTAGCAGCTTCTACAACTAACATTACAAGATAACAGGTACCACCAGGCGCACAAGCTGAAATGATATGGAGACAGTAACAGAATTGTTCACCAAGGACAAAAAGGGCTTCTGGAATGAGTACTGACAATATGGAAAACACACAAGAAGCACTATTCACCTGTGTCTTGAATTGCTTGCTTTTTCTTGGTTAACCTTAGTGTTGACCGGAGATCATGTACCTGGGTGTGGGCCGCCTTCAGTTCTTGCCGCAAGTCATTAATTTCCTTAATCAGACTCACATTTTCCTGCAAAAACAATATGGCCTATGAGGAAAAGCACAGGTACTATATGGCCCAGCAAAATGTATCTTCATATCCTTGAGAAGGACACTGGACAGTATAGAGTCAGTATCACAAGCAGAAGATACAGGGCAATCAGTACAGTACACAATATTTCAGATTGAGCATGTTAGCTCAATAAGCTAATATTTGTTTCGCTTTTCTGACTGCAGCTGCACTCCGAGGTATCATCTTCCTTGCCAATTCCACAGGGAAGCTCAGGTCCCTTCCTGGATTGATCCAATTAATTCAGAATTAATGTGAAGAATTCCCATTTCTCCCTCCATGTGTATTATTTCGCTTTTCACTGGCCACCATGTGTCTGTTCACTTAAATTATCTGTATCTCCTTGCAGATCTACAAAGCCCTCTTCATTGGTTCTGACAGACATCACTTTCCAACACCCCTTCCAAATTACTATGAAATACATAAAGCATATGGACACTTGAGATAGATACCTACTGCTAACATGCTGTTATGAGGAAAAGTTCTTTTTTTAGTCAGTTTCCAACCCATAAAAGTTGAATCCTCTGATTTTTTAATAGCCTACCACAAAGCATCTTGCTAAAGGAGTTGTGAATGTACAAGTGAATGTACTATAGCCATTGTTTTGACAGATTCAAAGACTTCAGGAAAAACAGTATGGGTTTTTCTAGTGAAGTATAGTTCATTAGTTTCACTAGTTTTTCATTAGTCTACCAGTCAAGAAAATTTTCTTTTGACCAGCTTTCAGGGTTAGGTCACAGCATATCTGTTTAGGTGTACTTTAGTCACAAACATCTTCACAAGTTCACTCCAAATGGTTGAATGCTGCTATCAAATGAAGATCTTGCTTTTGGCCTGTTAGACAATATAATGTATAGTATCTTGTATGAGGCAATCTGGGCTACATAGAAATGTCTTGTTTGGTTTGCTGGGTGTTAAAAGGCTGCTGGTTGACACTGATAATATTTTTCTGAAGAGGCATGCTATCCAGAGAGATTAGCTTTCAATTCAATCTTTGCATTCTGACAGAAAGCTTGCACTGCAATGTGATGATCGTGCAATGGATTAAAATAAATGTTCATGGTAAAACTCATTGTCATGGGATGTTATGGCAAAGAACCAATTGTTTCAGAAGAGGGATTGATCAAATACATGGAGGATGAGGCCATCAGGTACAACTGCTTATGATGTCTGGATCTGATCTACAGCCTCAGAAGTCCCTACAGGGCTGACTGTCAGAGACAGGTAGGACATATTATAGAAAAAGTCATCCTATACATGCTTCAGTTCAAGCAGTGTTACTTCAAGATTATTCAGTGTGTCTGTTCTTATGTATCCAAGTGACCAAACAAGCCTTACAAATACAGAAGGCTGGAGGCAAAACTAATAGTTAACAACAAGTAACTTGCCAATTGGTAAGAAAATTAGAATTATCTTGACAGTTCCAATCATCTGTTGTAGCACTCACTGGAGGAATGTACCTATGAATAGTCACTCAAAGAGGAATGCACAGCTCTGAAAATGTAAGCACTACTGAGGAATAATAGAAATACAGAGCTAGAAGGCTGTGAAGATGTCATTCACTTTTTCAAAACAAGCCCTGACAGAAGTTTGTCTAAACTGGTCTTAAAAGCCCCCTGTGAAGGACTGGAAGACCATGATGATTCCTCCTGACTGAAGTCTCAATAATCTACTAGACTTCAGAGAGCTGCTTTTTTCTTTGAAGAAACCAGGCTGGTTAGAACCTTTGATATCTTCATCTTCCAGATGTTTTATTAATTCGGTTTTAATTATCATTTCATGTTAAGCTTACTGATCCAAGACATCAAGTATTATTATGAGCACCATCTGCCACCCCATTCCAGCAAGGAAATTCTTCAGGTTATTTTCATAAGCCATCTCCTTTTGTGCCAAAAGGAAATATCTAGCACACAGAAGGAATAAAAAAGTTAAAGCAGGGCCAGGGAAGGTGATCTCTGCTGCCTGGGCCTGAAGAAGCACTACGAATAAATAGCAAAGAACGGATGAGTTAGGAAGAGACTGAGGTGTAACAATCCTGAGGAAGCATAATGAAGTAACAATGAAGAAAGGGATAGTGAGGGGAAAAGGAAATGCTGACTGAGCAGAAGGAGATCACGGTTAAGAAGAGACTGTAAAAGAGCTATCCTCCCAGGATGTTTGTTGTGGGGCTTTAGATCCTCTCACTCCAGAAGAAAACAAACTGGATCTCTGGCCCCAGCAGTCACAAGTTTACCTTGCCTTGTAAAGAACATCTGAGCAAGAGATCTTGGTATGAATATATTCATCATGTGCTTCTGAACTTCCTCGAAAAACCTGGATGTGAAAAGCAGAAAGTTCTTCTGAATTCAGACCAGTAGGTGTGGGACTATGTGGCCAAAGAAAAATATTTTTTTCCTTTTTCTTTTCTTTGAGGTTTTTCTTTGATGAGGCTTTAGGCAATGTGGTCTATTGGAGGGTGTCCCTGCCTGTAGCAGGGGGGTTGGAACTAGATGATCTTTGAGGTCCCTTCCAACCCAAACCATTCTATGATTCTGTGATTCTTCCTCCAAAATGACTTGTTAAAGTCACACAGCAAGTACAGCTTGCCACTCAGACAGGTGCAAATTGACTATGATGGCAATTATAAATACTGTTTGAAATAAAAAATAAGTACATTAATTGCTTAAAAAAAATCCAGACAGCAGACATTCCCTATGTCCTTTTACATCAGGGAGTGGGAGATAAATGAAAGTAGCCACAAAACAGCGGCAATTTCTGACTTCAGAGATCTTGTACTTTTTGTCCAGAAAATTATAGAACTTCAGTAGCTCAATAGATATTATCCTTGAATGGAAGCACTTGAAAAACAAGAATTTCTGGCAAGGAAGCAAACCAAAACTGTTTCAAAGTCCTAAGAAATTACAGCAGTAAGGCTACTAAAGTCTCCTTTGTGCAGCTGTTTCCTTTTTCTCTCTCCGTACCACAAGGAAAACACTTATTACCTGCATGATGCGCATGTAAGCAGCTTGGTGGATTTCCTGATCCTTTACCACCTTCTTTTTTAAAGCTGCCAAATTCCTCTCAAGATACTCTCGCTGTCTCATGTACTCCTGCTGCAAATCTGTGTCTACTGCTTCAGTCTCCACCTGAGGGGGGCACAGCATGTTGCCTCAGTAATTACATTACCAGAGAAATTAATCTGCAAGGAGAAGGCAAAGGCCCTGACTCACCATGTCTGATTGCTGCACGTACTTGGCATAGAGCTCATGGATCCCATCCTTCATTTTTTTTGAATCCTGAATGAAGCCCACACAATTATGAAGATCTGTTTTAAATCGTTTGATGACAGCTGCCATATTTTGCTTCTGCAAGAATGATGTAAGTACATTCTTATTTGGCTGATCAGAACACTCTATATGTGCAATTTTCTAGAAAGCCTAGCAGAACTGGTGAAAGCTCTCATATACTTTACTTCCGCTGAACTTTTAAAAAATGTCATAAAAAAACCTACTGGGGATGTCAGCACTGTGCATGTCGAATAGCAGTGTTAAGTATTTAGTAATATTAATCCAAGATACTTGTATTAGCTAATGTAAGTGCCAGCATCCAGAGGTTTCATCTGAACACCAGTGGCCTATTATCATGAATGCTATCCCCCACTGTCCTTTCCCAAACAACCTACGTTCTTATTTAGAAACAACACGCAAACAGTTAATGAGAGATGGCAAGGGACAGAACACATATCAGACACATGTACAACTTGATGATTTCACTTCGCATTCTCACTTGGTTTCTACTGGGCCCCTCTGCTCCCTCAGTCCTCCACTGCCTGCTAAGCTCTTTCACCTTCATTTGCAGTCCCTTTTCCTCCCTCATGTCTGATGTGCTGCTTGTCTAACACAAGGGGTTCTTGTCTCCTCCATTAATAAGGCCACCCCTCATTTCATCCTACTAATGCCTACATATCATCCTAGGCGGTAGCCTATGTGCCGTTCCTGTTTAGGCCAAGTGTCCCCAGATTTCAGGCTTGGGCAGGGAAGGGTAGTCAGTTAAGCATTTACCTCACTGCTCTGTTAAAGCCAGGAGAATATGTGCTGATTGAACAAACTGACACACAAATAACTGGATTTTTTTAATATCAACTCTCTAACTTGGTTGCAGGCTTGGAAGTTTTCTGTCTTTGTCCCCAGTGACCAGAGACTCTCCTGGTCGTTCAACACAGTATTCCTGAAGTACCCGTTTGCTCAGATTAATGTTTCTGCAGTGTTCTGTCCCCACACACTTCAGTATGTAGGACCTGCACAGTGGTTGTACCCCATACCTTCTGCCTCTCTCTGTGCATCTCGCAATCAGTTGCCTTTAGTTTCTGTTGCAGTTGTGTGATGTTCAGCTTCAACTGTGTGCTCTCCTTGTGGAATCGTTCCAGCTCCCCCTCCCTCTGAAAGGAAGCAGGAGGAGGAAATCAGGACTAAAAGGAGACATGAAAAAACAACACATAACAGGAAAACCAGAAACTGGAAATACAGACTTGAGGGAGTAGATCCCCCTTCAGGTTGAATTACAACACGAAAAAAGTAACTTTTGGAACAACACTGCCCTCTGTCAGAATATACTGAAAACGCACCAACTCCCTTTTGAGTTACAGGTATTTAAGTGATATGATGCCCCTACATTTCCTTAAGCTGCACTGAAGCTTTACTGTCCCATCTGAATAAAAATGGATATGGAAATTTACAGTCAGTACTGGAGAGAGTAAGTGCAACAATAAGAAGAACTTGATACTGAAAAGAAACAAATGCATTGAAAAGCTGTGGGTACATATGTAGAACCCAGGTAAAAAAAAAACAGTAAGGATACTACAGCATTTAGTGGCATAAGATGGTGACCAGAAGAGAGAACAGGGCTTTCATCATGCTAGTCTGACATACATACAAACTGTTCATTAGTTTGCATTTTATTTAGAAGGCTTTTGTTCTGAATAAACAGTCTTAGGAAAACTAATAGGTGGCTAATTAGCTATGTCACCATAGTCCTAATTTGGCTGAGCTAAAGGCACATCTATGGAGAGATCACAGTAAGTTTCTATCATTAATAAGTTGCCTCAATGAATTTGCTGCAAGTTAAGTATGAATACATGGAAATTTTCCACGGATCAGCTGATGAATATTTGTCCATGTACCTAACCCCTAAACAAAGTTATGTTTACACAAATCTGCAACTTTTCGGAGAGAAGTTCACTCTCTCTTCCTCCAGATCAGTAAAGGCAGCGTCTTGCAAACTCTACAGGGTACATGGAGGGCAACCACAAAAGGACAAGATCTATTTTTAAGCAAAACTGATATTACTCAGAGTCTAGAATTAAATACTGAAACAGGAGCTTAAATAACTGTGTCGATCACTGGTAGCATGTGATAGAAAATTAAATAGCAGCTATTGTGCGCAAATACTTTTATTAGCTGTAAAGATGTTGAATCAGTGCTGTGTATCCTTGGAAGAAGTCAAGGAACAAACAGGGTGGAGTCTTCCATGGGACTTGCTGGGTCATCTTTGTATTCAGACAAAGGGCTTAATAGCAGAGGTCAAATAAGAGTGTTACTCACCTCATGGATCTGCTCCTTTATTGTTTTAATATCATTTTCACGGGACTCTATTTGCTTCCTCAACTCCTCTATTCTGTAATCCAGTACAAACTTGAACTTTTCCAGTTCCTGATTTTTCTTTTTTAGATCATATATATGCTTCTCCTGGGAGAATTAGGTACAGAGATATGAATCAGACACAATACTCTCAAACAGATCCCTGGGACAAGGCACAAATATGGTAGAGGCAAAATCAGCAGTCACAGATCGAGTGGAAGACTGAACTTTAGTTGCACATCTACACAGATTGAGTGGAAAGGGAGGGGACAAATGATGCAGAGAGCCATCTACAAATCCCAGAACAGGGGACAAGAAACTTAACATCCTGAACTTGAGCTCTCCAAGAAAAGATTAGAATGTCAACTAAAAACTAAAATCCCAAACTAAAGATCACAAATTCTTTAAGTTAAAACTGAGTTTCCAGTAATGTGATACTATTACAACACAATACTATTAAAAGAAATATCTGTATTAAATTGAGAGTGATTTTGATCTCAGCCAATTGCCCAGTTTCTCACCTTGTCTTGGATAGTGTCAGCTCTCTCTTGAATCTCTGTCTTCAGCGCTAAGATGTCCTTCTCCAGTGACTTAATGATGCCTTGCAGCTTCTGCTGTTCCAGTTTCATTTCCTCAATGTCCCTGTTTCGCTCCTTGAGCTCTTTCTGTAGGCTGTTCAACTAGAGAGCCAAACACCTAAGAACTTAAGTCTCCAAAAGCTGTGCACAACATAGCCATCCTACTCGGTAAGGTACCTTGTAGACAGTGTGGGATAAAGGATATCAAACTAAGATATGATGAAGGAGCATCACATCACTTAAAAGGGGGTTGAATATCCATTTTAGCATTTTCTGTATATTCTGACAGAATACTCACTGCACTACAAGGAATCAAGGAATATGCATTCAGAAGCAAGTAGGGTATGGATATTATACCCATGCATCAGCTTCAAATAACACTCAAGCCATGGAAAATTATTTTAAGGTGATCACTTGTCGTACGTCTTTAAAAATGTCAAAAGTAGACTCAAAGGGTGCATAGTTCATAGCTCTTGGGTACCTTTAAAATCCCTGCCTCAGAGGGGAACTGAAGACAGTGCCATGATAATAGAGGGTGTGAAGAAAGAGAATTTCTCTGTCTCCAGAGATACTGAAGAAACTGAGAAGAAAAAATGTCCATCTAACATCCTTAGGCAAATGTAACACCCAGCCAGTAACAGAGCTAAAAGGTTTTATGCCTCCTTAAAAATCTTAGTAAAACCAATAAAAATGATGATGCATACAAAACACAAAGTGTTTATTGCATGGAATGAAGCAGTAGAAGTATTTTTCTAACAAAGCAACGCATTAGATCTTGGAAAAATGAAAAGGTTAATTTCTTTCCCATGATAGGATGAAGAATACTATTATTTATAATTTAAAACTACGTAAGATAAAAGAAAGTGTACTAATAAAAACACACGTCCTCTATCCCTAATCATATCAGCAATACAATCAGCACACAGCTGTTTCTTCTGCCCAAATATTCTAAAACATTCAATAGAATGTTTTAGAAGGGGCTACTGTTCTTATATGAAATGCCACATATTTACAGACTAAATTAACAGACTAAATTGACATGCCATTAATCACATTCAATTCTTGGCTATAGGTCTCCATGTGCAGGTCTGATCCTATCACAGAATAAAAGATACCCTTTTATTCATGACTCCTATTTCTCCTTTCAGTTGCAGGTTTGATTCCTTTTCTTCCACGAGCCGTCTCTCATACTTGATTTTCATTTCCAGGATTTCTCGGTCTTCATCTTCTTCAATCTGTTTCTTAATTTCTTCATGCGCTTGAAGCTGCTGCCTCATATCCTCCTGTGCCTGCAGTTAAGGAAAGCAAACATTAGAGAAGACAACAGTAAGAGACCAATAAAGAAGACAAGAATTCTTTATTTGTAACTGTGTTTCTCCTGGGAGGATCTATATTTAGTGGACTCTTCAATTGCAGCAATATCATTTAAGGTAACTTAACTTCTTAGGGGATTAAAGTAACTTTAAAAACTGTTAAGACAAACATAAAAAATTCTTAAAAAAAATTATCTTAAAAACATTTCTTCTTAAGGCTTCAATGCTTCAAGTTAGGAACCTGGCCCAAATGCTAATATCAGCAAACTTCTGGCTGCAGAAAACAGAGACATGAGTAACACTTCAGAAGTTATTTTAAAATTGCTGTTTCTGATGCATTAGGACCAATAACCACTCAGGTTTGCATCAGTCTCTGTACTCTTCTGTACTGCCTCTCTTCTCACATTTACTCCTCACATTCTTTCCAAATTGGTATTGCAACAGAGGGCTGCAAACAGTAATGCTGATAGAATTTATTGACTTTAGATATATACGTATCAGTTATCTGGCTGCCCTTTGTCAAGCCAAGTCTTTGACCTCAATGTGCAGCAGTTTTTTAAGTACTCAGGGTATTTCTCTTTGTTCCCCAAATTATGCAGGCAGGAACCTCAGGGACTCAGGAATGGAATTCACCATTTTAGAAATGTTATCTCTTCACCAGAACAAGGTGATTGAATCTTTCTTTCTTCATTACAGTAAATGTATCATTTAAGCCACATTAGTAAACAGGAATTCTTGGATCTAGGAGAAAGAGAGGCAAAGCTGAGAACGCCCAAGGATATTAATCTTAGCAGGTTACTTAGTCAAGGTATGAAGCCCAGAAAAGTTGGTAACTCAGCTAGGTTTTCCTCATTACTATTCTACCTGCCAAAATATTTCCCCAAGGTTACAGGAAGATTAGGATTTGCATGGAGGGAGCAAACCTCTCCTGTCCTAGGGAACACTTTATCACAGTTGGAGATAAACTTAAGTCAATAATTCAAACTGCAAATCAAGTTTCCTACCTCTTCCAGCAGAACAGATTTCTCATTAAGTTTTTCCTCATAATATTCTGTTAGCTCCTTCACAGCCTTGCTTTTGCTTTCCTCCAAATTGTGCAATTGTTTCTCATATTCCTCCTGCATCCTCTGGGATTTCACTTGCAGCTCCTGGTATTTCTCATTTTCCATTAAGAGTTTCTGATTACTGTCAGATTCTGGTAACAGGAAACATATGGAGCAGATAAAACTAATAGAAAAGAGAGGTGTATCCTATCCTTCTACACTCATCAATGTCTTATTCTCTACTGTCTTTTCGGCAGCTGGTTGCACTAAGTTACACTAGAAGCACTTCAACACTTTGTTCACCAGATATACAGGGGTTTTAGACTCTGTGGCCATACAAAATTTTATATCAGAAAATCATCTCTGGAGTTTCCTGCTCTTACTTTTACCTACCACTTCATTAATAATGCCTGTTCCAAAGCTGTCATTCACCTTTCTCAGTTGTGTCTCTGAATATTTTGCTATATCCCTGCTTGCTGCATCAGGACAGGATGTTGTTCTGTTTCAGCTTGAATAAGTCTAAAACCTACACCAAAATCTCCTACTCTGCCATTACAACAAATTAATAACTGCTAATTTAGGCATTCCTTTGAGATGACAACCATGACAGAGCTGTATAAGCACAACTGTTACAAACTCTGAGTAGGCAATGGATTCATTTATAGGTGGACTTGCTTTTTGCTACTAATTTGCAGTATTTCTGTTTAATCTTGATTACAAATCTGGGGTCCAGATATTTCCATGTTGTGTGCATTGTACATCAATCTCCTTGCTGAACTGTATGACTTCACTATTCTTGTGCAGTGAGCTATAAGATAAATGAAGAAATTACAAATCTCAAAATCCAAACATCTAAGATACAGTGCCCATGTGTGTGTTCTCATCATGGTCGTGTGTGTGGTGCAGTTTAGACAGACATGCATTTCTCCTTGTCCTTGTACTCTACTAATCCCTCACTATCACATTGCTGGCTATAAATCTAACACACTTCCTCCAGATTCTAGTTAGAAACACTTGTTACAGTCTAACCTAGCTGTTGCACCTCCCTGGCCTGTTTATTCATCAGCTCAGACAGTTGAAACTGGTGTTGCAGCTCCTGTTTTTCTTTCTCTGCCTGTAAAATCTGGGGGAAAAAACAAGAAAAAAACATTTTAATGTGAAACTAGGCAAAGCAGCATCCAAATTGTTTGTGCTCTTGCCCACAGTGGGGAACACATACACAACAGAATTTATGCTTGAAGTCTCTCACCAAAATTCAGATGCCATGTGTCACTGCCAAGTTTTCCCACAGATCAGTTTGTTATGACAAGTTACAAAACTATGGAAAGTTACGGGAAAGTAACAAATGGAGTTCATATGATACAGGGTACTGCATAATCCTAATCTAACAAGAAAAATTTGTGAGCTACAAAAGCCTCTGCTTCTTTGTGTGTGCCTGCTTGAGGAGAATTTGCAGTTCTACAAATTGTTGTCCAGATATTAAGGTTCAAGCTGCTTCCTGTCTTACTTGAAGCAACCGTGAGATCCTAAACCACTGACATTTGCATAGAATGACATAAACCTAACCTGAGTTTTGAATGTCATTTGCTTTTCAAATGACTTAATCTTCTTAAAAAGCACAAAGAACTGGAACAAGAAAATGGGTGAGAAATTTCCCAGAAAAGTTGGGAATTGTACCATAGGTACATTTTTCCCCTTTCTTCTCATAACAACTGTATGGGTCTTGCATAAGCAGAAATACTCCATTTGCTTGCTGGATATAACAACTAGAAAGGTTAGCCCCAAGCCTGTTAAAATCTGTCATTCAGTTTATCTTAACATGTACTGATACTTGGACAGAAAGTACAACTTGCCTGCCTAGAAACCTTTTATGCACCTTCAAAGGCATTTGCTTGCTAACCTATAATCAACAAGCCTAAAGAGGTTTCAGTGTAGCTGAAATGATTACAACTCTATAGCCAAGTGCTACCTATGAAAAGACCTGAAGAATTGCAGAAGAAAACCAGCACAGATAAAACACAGGTAGAGGAATCTGTAAGAAGTGAAGTGGCTTTCTTGTAAAAGGTCAAGCTGTACAAAAATGAGGAAAAATAGAAAGGTTAAAACTCAGGTTACTTAAATGCAAAAAAACACAATAATAAAAGCCAAGGAGCCTGAGGAACAACTTGAAGAAAACATTAAAATGAATAATTAAACTTACTAAAAAAAAAAAAAATATCAAAATCAGAAACCTGCCAGAACATTTATAGGGCCAAAAGACAAGAAAGATATAAAAGGAGCACTTGAAAATGACAAGACTATAAAATAATAAAACTAGTAACTGGGCAAGCTTTCATACTGGAATCCTTTATGTGGAGTCAAACTGAAATATTGCTCAAACAGACTATGTTAGATTCAACAAAATAAGCAGTAACAAATCACCAGGACAGGATAATATTCATCCAAAAGCTCAAAAAGAACATGAGGTTGACAGAATTGAAGCCTGTGATATGTAATCTCTCACTTCAAGCCATCTTACTGCCACAGAAATTGCTATTGGATCACTTGCCTTCTAAGTCTAACAAGGGTTCAGAAATATAGCAAATTACAGGTCAGAAATCCGGTGTGTGAACCAGACAGATGGACAGAATAGAATTAACAAACACAGATAAATAAGACACAGGCAAGAACTGTCACAGGTTTTGCCTTTCAGGAAAGTCCTGCTTCATGACCATAGAGAAATCAATAAACATATGAACAGAAGAAATCCAGGGAACATATTTTACTTCTATTTTCAAAAAGCATATAAGACACCTCAGCAGACATTCTTAAAAAAGCTAAATGGCCAGGGCATAAAGAAGGCGGCATTAGGAAGAAAAATTGTTGGATCCTGCAGCAGCTGCAGCCTTGTATGTGACAGAGCTTTTAAAGCATGGTCCCATTTCTACTGAAGAGTGATACGGCTTACTGATCCTTGGTCCCAGGCAGCATTTATTGCTGGAACTGTTTTTTTATGTGAAGATACTTACAGGCTACCTAGGAGAACTCTTGCATCCCCTTGTACTTACTAGATGCTTGACTCAAAAGTAGCTTCATACTTTACAAATATCAAGAACATCTTTATTGGAAAGGAATGCTTCATTTTTCAGATGCTTTATGGCATTCATACATATATAATGCAAGTTTGAATTCAACTCTTCAGTGAAAGATTTCTTGGTATTTGGTTCTGCAATATGAATCATACCTGGTGTTTGGTTTGAAGGGAGCCTATTTCCTGAGTGAAATTCTCTTCTAATTCCTTTATTTTTTCATTACAGTACATGTCCTTGAGACATAGCTGATAATCATTTTCTGTCTGTAGCTCTTTCACACGAATCTGCAGGTCTAGCATTGCCTGACTCTGGTAGGACATGGATGAGAAGATAGTTTTAACAGAGAGATTATTTGCCATTACCAACAGCTTGTTAAAGATGTTTTATTTCCATGCACATATTTATGACAGACAGTCTTTGCAGAGAATTTTCAGACAGAAGTTCCAGAAGTAAGGTTCCTTTATTATCTTACAAGATGATTTATAGAAATGCAGCTGCTGACATCTCTGCTCCATTAAAACTGCTTTCAAGAGGTTGGGGAAAGTATTAGACAAAAGTCTAAACTTTTTTCCACACTCACTGTTCATACAATGCAGTTTGCATATTAGCAAGCAGCTGCAGCTACTTGCTGTAACCTCTTTTTATGACGAAAGCCATGCAAGCCCTCTTAAGGAGGCCATATAGGAACAGCTAGTCAAAACATCATGTGAATGTAATTCATAAGTTGTACACAAGGAATCCTATGGTTCATGCTCACAAGTTGCTCCTCCTACCTTTTCTTCTATATCTGATCTCATGATCAGCACTTCCTCAGCATACTCAACTTCCTTTTCCCATTTCAGTATCCCACCTCCTTTATCACACACTTTCCAGATAAATATAGAGCCATCCTCTGAGGCAGTCAGCAGAAATAGGTCATCAATTGTTATGGACATCTTAGAAGGGACAACAAAATAATAGTAGAAACAAGGAAGAATGGAGACACAGTTTGATTTTTCTCCCCACCCACATACTCCCTGTCATTTCCACCACAGAAAGTCAACAGTGGAAATATTAACATAGCCCCACTACCAACATTTTGATTATGTCCTCTACTCCTGCTCCACCCTCGTGCAGACAACAGGGGAAGGGAAAGAAAAGAACATGTGAGGACACTGGATCCACTTCTGCCCTCAAAGCTGTAGGAAGATTTTTAAAAACCTGGAACAGAAAAGACCTTCCAGACAGTTATAGCACAGACAGGCAATTTATACAATTCCAAAAGTCTCTAGCTTTTTTCTTTGAGAAGTTGTTTGAGCAACAGGTGGCTAAACGCTTTCTTTTGAATCTGCAAATAAGCCCATCAAGAACTATCTAGTAATAACAGCTGTCACCTCCTCCAGACCTCCTGTGACTGCGTGACCTGGCATAGAGTACCTGGGAGCTGACACAGCCTATGAGCGAGGTGAAGTTCATAGCCTAATATTGGACTGTGCAGCTCTAAGTCAACGTGCTATATTTGACAGTGATACTTAAAATGCCAAAATTACGAACGGTTTTAACAAGATAGAACATGTGGCTTCCCGGAGAAAGCACACTGAAATGTTCCATGGTCTCAGGCTCTACTCATGATATCCCCACCTTTCAGATGCTGTTCATTAGCCTTTCAGAAATACACTCTGGTTAGCAGACCTGCACTGCAATCTGTTCTGCTCTTTACCCTGGGAGCAAGTTGCTTAATACATTTATCTCATTCCTCCTTCCATTCTCACAAGAGGTTTTCAAGGCTGCATAACTTTATCTTCCTCTTTCCAGAAGGAGCTATATCAAAGTTCTCCATTAAAGATACGTCATGTTACGTAGCATGGTGCAAGCCACTTTTTAGCCAACACAGCTTATCCAGTGGCATCTGTTCCTAGAGACAGGACTTCTATGAATGCTGCAATATTCATTCTCCACATGCAGGCTCAAACTTAGTTTTAACATATTATGCTATGAAATGGGAAGGAGAGTCAGCGCTAAAGGAGATGCGTGCAGCTGGTATCACAGGGAAAAGAAAGTACTCTGTTACCTTTGTGACAGCACCTGCATGAGCCTGATACTCATTGAAATCCTTTGTCACAAGTAAAGGGTATTTCATAGCTCGAATTGTCCCCAGAGATGTACCAACAAATACCATGTGCCCGGAATGAGAAACAGCTACTGCAGTATAAACAACACCAAAAGCAGGTATTTCATGCTGGATCTAAAAAAACAAAACAAAACAAAACAAAAACACCACAGAAAACCCTCACATTACATTAAGTTTCCCAATACTATTTGAGTACTTATTGCATGAGCAATTGTCATATTTCTGCCCACAGCAAATAATGCAGTTAAAAGAATCTACATGCCTATAGGAGTAAAGCCATGAATCATAATTAGTATTAAGCTTTACAGATAAGCACTTTTAAAATTTCAAGCTGAGTTCCACAAGTTGAACACTTCTGAAAGATGTAATGGTTATCACATGCAATTCACTATTTTTCTGGTTAAAAAAAATAATAAATGCATGTAGCCTACAATGGTAGATGCAATACACTTGTATTTCAGCAAAACTGTTGATACAATATTGCCAAGTTAGTTTGTTAACTGGATTAGAAGATTTCTAGGTAAATCCAAGTAAAGTTATAAAAATACAAAACTACAACAAAATCTTAGGTGTCATGCTAAACGACATAAGAACACAAGAAAAGTGTCAATAAATATCACCGCTTTCAAAACCAGACTGATTCCTACCTACCAAATAGATGATAAGGAAACCAAATCACTACTACCCTCCCCAGAGAACTTAACAAAATCCCAGAGTGCTAGTTAGCTCACCGAAGACTCTGAAATTTCTTTGAGAGTTTGGTCGGATCCAACAGCTAGGATGATTTTGGCATCAGAAGACAGGGCAATGCTGCTGTAGATGCAGGACTTGAGCACACACTCTGACTCCCTTTTACCTGTCAACAAGTTCCACTCATACACGGCACCATGGGTGTCACAGGAGAAAAATTTAGTATCATCTGCGCTCCATTTAACTGCATGTATCTGACAAAAGCAAAACACACCAAGGAGCCCGATGTGTAAGTTATAGACATACAGCATGTAGTCATTTTACTGGTACATCCATGACAACTTTGGAATCATACTTCTAAGTCTTACTCAAAAACCCCTAGATGTTTCTCAACTAATTCCATTTTAGCATTAAAAAAAAATTAAATCAGTAAGAACTACTTTATGAACATGTCAGGAAAAAGCTCATTTCAATAATGAGTAGCATATTTTATTTTTATAATTTATTACTGAGATACTTTTCCTGGTTCAGCTACCTGCCAATCATTCACCTTCAATTTAAGGACAGTCTCTTTAGATGTATCTAGTGCATGCATATTCTGACCAAAGAAAACTGACTTTTGTATTTCTATTTTTAATTTTTGGGCCTATTTCTAATCCAAAATTGTACTTTACCTTTTTGAAGTGGGCATCTTACCAACTAGTTCATACTTTCATGAATTGTATTGTATACGATTTGTTTACTAACCTTCCCGCTATGTCCTTTCAGATTATTAATACTCTCAAAGGTGATGCTGGAATAAATTTGAATCACATTTCCATTAACTGCAGCAAAAAGATGTCCTCTGTTACTGAATGAGCACTACAAAAAGAACATAACCACCCATTACTGTAGATGCAGTGGATAAAAAAATTCATGCATTGAATTCCAATGACATCATCTCATATCAGAATGTTACAGAAAAAGAAAACTCCATGACATAATTAGCCTCTTACTGCTTTCTTAATTGGTACTTTCCCCTGCAAAATTCAGTCTGTGACTATTTCTGAGAAAACTACCCCTTCTGTTGCTTCCCAGGTCCACAGTTATGCATCAGCCCTCAGGCTTATTTTCCAATAGCTGGAATCCTTTTCTCTGTGCTTTGACATCCTAAGTCCTACTCGGATCTATTGGAGACGTTTCTATCTTCCGTCATGTTCTTCACCACTCTGCTCCCTCTAACTCCCCAATTTCATTTTTATATCACTCCTTACCTCTCTACACTTTCTCACAGCAAACTCCTTGAAAACATGCATGTCCTCATACAGTAGACTTATAAATCGTAGTTTGTCAGAAAACCCAACCAAACAGAAAAGGCCAGTGGGATGAAGTGATACTGTGTATGCTTCCTCCCGATATTCCTTACACAGCTCCAAAGTGCTGAAAGAGAAAATCATTGTGCAGGAACAGTACAAACTCCCTCTGCATGCCTGACAGGTCAGTATCTGCAGTCCCTGGCAGGGACACCTGCAGCTATGGTCTGGCTCTGCCTTGTCCTTGAGGAAATGTGTTGTTATTCAGTTAAGTAATGATCACACAGATGTTACAGGAAACAAAGGCAAGTCTGAACTTTCTGGTTCACAGAGAAGGTGTGGAAGGTACAAGAACAAATCCTAGTTTGCTGTGATATAATGAAGAAGGTAAATGAACCGTTGATTGCAAACCTACACAAACATCTCTTCGGAGGTTTGTTTTTCTCCCCCTCTCCCTCCATAGAACCTTAAAAGCTGGAGTCATTTTGCTTAAGAACTATGGCTATGAAGCAGGAGATGGGAAAACAGTATCTTAAGACAAAGCTGAATGAAACACTCCTCAAGATTTTTTTTTCCAAAACACATGAGAAGTCTGACACAAAAATGGCTTAACAGAAAAGGCTTTGGATTCTTTTGGCACTGGTTTTAAAGGCACTGCATATTCACACTCCCAAATCATGTCAGTAAGACCATTTACATCCCACACCACACAATAATTTTACCAGAACAACAGTCTTATTCATATGAGATTGCTGCTGTTGCCTGCTAAATACAATATACAAAAAATCAAGAGGTAATAAAAAACACAAACAACTCTTTACTTTGTCTTGTAATTCCAGATGCGGACAGATCTATCCAGGGAACAAGTAGCAAGAATGGGTTTCCACATACAGATGTCCAGACCAGTGATTGAAGCAGAATGCAATGGGAAATTCAGATAGGCAAAATAAGCTGCCTTCTCCTGAGAAGCAATGAAAACATAGAAAAATCACAAATATTTCACTGCAGGCAGTAAGTCAGGTAAGAGATCTATCATAGCTCTTTGCATATAGTAATCAAATAGATTTGAGGAAACCACTTAATCCTTTCACTGCACCAGTCTGAACACAACAATGTTAAACACATAACAATGTTAGAATCAGTTTTAACTTTAAAATTAATAATAAAGTGACGCAAGGAAGTTGTAGTCTCCATAGTTCTCATACACTAGTGAGAGCAGAACATAATTGTAGGTGTCCAAAGAAATGCAAGTTAGATAAATAAATAAAACCGGACCAGCAAGAATTCAGGTAAGACCTTCTGGTCAGACAGATAATTTAAAAATATGCACGTGCTGAGTGATAAGCAACTTAACCAGGATGTTTAGCTATAACATGCTGGAAGTGAAGCACCAATAAAATTTTAGGCTGCATGCAGAAAAAGGACCCGTAACTACAAACCCCCTTCCTGTAAAGATCTTTCCATATACCTGTACACAGGTTAGGTATTTAACACCATGCAAGTCTATTTCATGATAATACATTTATTTCTTGTCTTTGTATTATTTAATTTCTTCAGAGTAGGGAATGTTTTTCATTGTTTGTCCTTCACAAAGAGGTTTCACTTCTAACTAGGACTTTCACAACTGTTACTTCAGAGTAACATGAGATTCCTGTGGCTGTTTCAGCTTTATCGTTGCATTAAAGTTTCTGCATATTACAGTGGAGCATAAACTACTACAGTTATGTTAAAAATATCTCTGTTAAAGACTTAGTTAAGCGATTCAACAGTGACACACACCCTTAAGTTTTCTTAACGCTGTCCTCTATCATTCTGCTGAATAACATCAGGTATTCATATGAAGAGATGCTTGAGCAAGGGGCTACTGAAATACAGCACCCAGAGAAGCATGCAGAGCACTTCATATCGTGAGCTTTAAGGGTTCAGATGCTATTTGATGGATTTTATGAGAATGCATCATAGAAAGCGACACTGAATAGCCTGTGCCATTGCAATACACCCCTTTCTCGACAGGATGGCTAGGGAATGTGGTAAGGTTGCACTCACCTTCGTAAGATCAGAGGTGAGCATAGTAAACATGTAGAGCTGATTTTTACTTGTGTTAATGACCATCGTTTCCTCGGAGGGGCTGAAGCATATACATATAATGTCCTGTCTGCCTGACTGTTTTGGCTCACTGCTGAACAGGTCCTGAGGAAGCTGCACAAGAAATGCATCCCATGGGATATTCCAGGTCTCCATGTCTTAGTAGTAGGCATGCACACACACACACAAACTTTTGCTGTAATGCTACTCTAATAAGCATATACATAGTATCAGTAAGACAACCTGGATATTTAATAGTACATAACTACTGCAACACAGGCAACAGGGGACAAGATAACCTAACTGTATCTATTGCATTACAGCTGACAAAGCTATCAGAGGACATTTCAGCAGTATCTTAAGTACTGCATTAAACAAAAATGAACATGGTAGCAGAAAAACATTGAGAAAAAAAACCTAGCAAGTGTCAGAGTGAAAACTGCCTGAAAATTGTGATCTCAGAATAACAGCTCTTTACAGTGTATCAGTCAGGTTGAATGATGATCTTATTATAGGGTCTCATGCATAGGGAAGATCTGACCTTCTAGGCCCAGGATATGGAGGCTTGATCAGGTCATCAGAGTTAAATGTTCTCATCCAGAGATTGCAGTAAGTCAATGCATACAGAACCGAAATCTTACTAGATTACTTAAGAGGGCATAAGTCTTATGACAGCTATAATAAATATCTGAGGGTAGAAAAGCTTTGCCTTGGGAAAAAAAAAACAGCCTGGTTCTTCAAAACTGATATAGACTACTTCTTAACACCAAAAGTCTCCATAAATACAAGTTTTTTACAGGTTTCCTGATGTTTAGCAGCCTCAAAGCACACTTTACATGTTGGAACACACAGAGCTTCCAAAAGTACATCTGTCACTGACTTTCAGTGTGACCACTGGCAACTCCCTTCCTTTCAACATCACCAGGCCAGTTAGCTAATGCTTACAGTGTAATTTAGAGACAATAACTGAATTGGAAGCACCCCTACCCCCCTCAAGCAGACCTCTGCTGCATAATTGCTTGCAAAAGCTTTTTTCTCCCTACCCAGATTTCTTGACTCTCCTTGTAGACTTCCTTTTCCTTGGTCTTCTCAAACAGAAGAACAACTCCTGGGCTAGATGAACATGCAAAGCCTTTGGAATAAGCTGCAACTGCAGATATTTGAGGCAAAGAATCCTGTTGTGAACCATTATCTTCATAGGCCAGTCCACAAGAGACATCAGAAGAGCTGCAAGCAGGAAATGCATAAAGACTTAAGAATAAAGAAGGATAAAACAAAAAATGCTAATCAGGAGCAATCAAAATATTATAACCCATTCATAAACTGGACAAGAAGTAAATAAGTGAATGGCCTGCAATTAATCTGCATGCACAAGCATGAAACTATTAGTAACAGTATTTAACAGAGATTTACCTGTCATGTTCTTTTGTTGTTGCATATTCTTCTAGTTCCCTGGGTGGTTTTTTGTACTCTACACTTGTCTCCCACTGCAGCTCTCCAGTTTCAAACAAGGTAAGTTTGCCTGTGTCAGTGCCACATATAACTTCCTCCTCGGACAGCCAGGCATGGCACAAGTAGTTTTGCGGCTCTCCCTTTTGCAAATTCATCTGCTTCAAAGTTCCTTCACTGTACTTAAAAAGTTTAAAAAAGCCATTTCCAGTGATACAAACCTGTGCATTGTCTTGAGGACTAAAGCTCACCTATGGAACAAAAGAGAGAGAAATTATTTTACACAACTATGTTCACAAATAAGCAAATATTATACCTGTTCTGAAGATTTTCAATACCAGATACAGGAAAGCAAACAAGCGAAGAAGGTTCATAGAAACATAAAAGAATACAGAAGAGACTAAGAAATAACCATCTTTCTTACCTGCAATTTTCCCCCTTTCAAAACTGTGTATATCAATTTTACACAATGCTACAAATACATTAAGCTAATACATAAATCTATTAAGCTAAGACGCTATCTGAATCACAGTGCAATACCGAAGAGAAAGTTGTTTCTGCCCTTCAGGATTAAATGAGAAAAGTAAGGCCAAAATACATCTTTACTACTGATTAGCAAGTTTTTCAGGTAGCAAGCTTCCTGAAAAATGGGACCATTCATTCTTAAAGGCCAGGAATAAATTCCCTATTTCTGTATTTCAGGCAAACCTTGCCCATTATGCATATTAATTCACAGAATTAGGTGTTTATTTGTGAAAATAGTGGAATAGTAATCTCGATACCCAACATGAAGGATAGCAGGGGTAGTTAGACCTCACTTTTCATGGTTAATGGGACTTTAGAGAGCAGTTGTCTTTACAGTCATCCTCCTCTCTTTAGGAATTGAGCTCATGAAGTCAGTAGTTCCCGAAAACCTCTGCTTGTAGCTGTACTCCAGAAAAAATGGCAGCCAGGGTCCAGCCAGCCCATGTACTGAAAGCCTCCTACCTCCCTGCAAGGAAGATACTAAAAAAAGGCACCCAAAGCAGCATGCAGGAATTGTTTGAGTGCCCTCAGTCTGCTCCTAGCCATTCTTCCCAGGCTACTCCTCTGATCTGCATATAGAACAGACTGCAGGAAGGAAAAGGTGCACGAGCATGCCGAGAGCTTCCAAGATGTGTGTTACGCCTGCTGAGCACAGCCAATATATTCAATGAGTGTTTCTGCGGGAACACAAGGGACACATTGCATATGCACTGGCCAACCAAATCGGCCACATAGCACAGATCTCATATGATGCAATAGAATCTCATGTGATATGGACAGGAGAACGGACCCATAGTAAGTCTGAGCAAAAATTCATTCAGCCCAGTGTCCTATTGCAGCTGATGCCAAGAAAGGCCACAGAAACTGTATATAACCTACAGTGTGGAGCCCCCTCCTCCCTCTCTTGCCCTGGACAGAAGCCATGTGGCCACAGGAAAACGTAATTGTCAACATATCCTGCAGATTGAACTTACGTGCTACCTGGCACCCAGTACTTGTTGACCTATGTTTGGTCCTTTTACCGGCCTTTTTGAAATAGTGCAATAGGCTCCCTAAGATATGGTTAGTTGTGAATCAAAATGTTAAAAATGAGCCGCAGAGACGCTGGCCCAGCTCAGTTTTGGAGGCAGGTGTGTGCAGCCCCGTACCCTGGCAAGGCCCGGGGGGAGCCGAATG